GCTTCTCTCGGCTGGAAAACACGCTAAGATATATTTATACTTAATGGTAATCCATTAAGCTACAGATTAAGCTAATGAGCCTGAATAGCACTAAAATCTGGGAATCCAAATAAAATCCATGCTGATCTGTGAGGTGAGAACATCTAGTTTAAAACCAATAAACCGTCCTATCTTTTTGGAACAGCCTGCATTTTCTTTCTACAATCTCTCTCTATTCATTTAAGGCAAACAGTGGCCACATATGCTGACAGCTGCTGGTTTGTGTGTCTCACAGACAACACAGCTGCATAATAAATGTCCTTGTGCGTTATCAAAACCAGTCAGCTCGTGGATGGACGATGCCAGAGCTTTAACCGTCCTTAAATATCACAGAGATAAAAAAGAAACTATTTAAGGATTTATCTTAACTATAGCTTTTTCTGTAGCAACATTTTCTCTCTTAGAAAACCCAGATTGAGTCCCGCGGACAAGCGCATGAGCAAACATGCATCTGGACGTTGATGAACTAATCTACTGTGTATAATAACCACGCAATTTGCATTTTAATAGCATGCAATTTAAAATGACTCATTGCGTTCACATTACAATGTGGGCATTTGTCCAGAGAGAAACTGCAGGATGAGTAAAATGCCCGGATTACGCCCCATCACAAGGAATCAGCGGTTTAGAGGTGAGCCATCAAAGCCAGTGTCTCCATTCACACCAAGCAAACTCTGACTTCATTCCAATTCACTACAGAGACTGACTGCTATTAAATGTCTATGGCAAACCAATTGATGAAGTGAATGCCACATGAATAAAACATGACTCAGCCTCTGTGTGAGTTAATAGGTTCGAATTCACTTAGATAAGCCAGCCACAGCTCCTCTGAGGCTTTTATGAAGTTTTGCTGTGGTGATGTGGCGAGGATGATATTCTCATCCTCGCCACATCATCGTGATGCTTCCTTTAGTTTTAGAGTTGGAAGGGTGGTTGGTGCTGATGCAGCTGTAAGGGACTGATTTCTTCTTTAGGAACTTGTAATGATTGTGTTTTTGTACACATACACATTTGTGTAGCTGCGTTCGGGTATACAGCGTTACTGTGTGCGTGAAGTCTCACATGCTGCATCCAGAGTAATTATTTTATAGGGTCTTCATGCAGCAATCCACCAAACAGGTTTCACATAACACATTCCTAAGCAAAAGTGTACGTCTGCATGTGTGTGGGGGACACAGATCGTATCTATAACTGCCATTTTCCCTCAAGAAATGCGCACTATCACTGACTGAATGGCCGGGATAATGGACTCATTATACATAAGTGTGTCTGTGTGTGTATTGGCGAGTGAATAACTGGGATCATTTAGCCATTAAGAGATAGGTGGGGGTTAGGAGGTAATCAAGCGTGTATTTAAGTATTTAAAGCTGTTTTGTTTGTTTTTTTAATTCTGAGACACACACAAAGCTGTTTGGTCAGTTATATTTCTCAGTAAAAGGTAAAAGGACCTTTGTCATATATATATATATATCACTGCAGTTTTCAGAGATACTACAGGATACTACATGCCTCCAAACCGAGTGACCGAGAATTCAAGTCACATCTGTTGTGGTTGATAGCAAAATTGATAACACAACCTGTGTTGTGTTATCAACATTTGTCCAGAGAGAAACCCCAGCCAGCCCCAGTGGCCTAATGGATAAGGCACTGGCCTCCTAAGCCAGGGATTGTGGGTTCGAGTCCCATCTGGGGTGAACGTGGTGTTTTTTAAAGTAGCTCAGACAAGGCTTGTGGTTGTAGTTAAAAAAAAAAGAAGAACAAAGTAACATTCGCTGTCAGTTGGAAATAATTATCTCACATGCTCTATCCACCACAATCTCCTCCTACACTGCCTTGGCCAACTTTATAATAACTAACATCTTTTCTTGCTGCTGTAAAATTATTACAGTGACTTTTTGGGGCATTTGCTGAATGAACCAATACAGTTTTTTTCTTGAAATCTAAGAAAACACCCATCAACTTATCCAGTCATTATTCTAGACACAGACTCGGGATTGTGAAAAGAAGGCATGACTGACAGCAGAGGAAGCATGCTAGTTCAATGATCCAGGGGTCATTAAGGCTAGTGAGCGTTAGCATTGTTGTTTTACTACGTCACTGCTTTTGTCCCATGGTCCCAATGTTGTACGCCCTTTCACATTCTGCACTGTCTCATCAGCAGTGCTGCTACTGAGGCACCAGCCCAGTGGATACAATTTTTTTGTTTTTGTTTTGTTTTTGTCTCCTGTACCTTTTCCCTCAGTTGTCTATTTTCCTTCTATTACTTCATCATCAATTTACTGCTGCTGTACCACTCACTTAAGTACTTCACTGTACTGTTTTTTCTCTTTTAGTTAATCATCTGCTGTGCATCCCAAAGGAAAAGGAAAAGCTAAATGTACAGTGTCTCTAAGCGGCCAAAAAATATTTCGAGTAATTACAGCAATTCCATGACAAAAAAAAAAAACTCCTCCCTGTGTCTGAGGAAAACCTCTGTGGTGATGAGAAGGGAAACGACCACAGTATAGAGCTCCCACAGAGAGGCAGAAAGAGCGTGCACGCGCACACACAAACAAAAACAAATGTGTACAACAGCATGATGGTGGGCACCACAGTAAACACATCATACTTTTCTTTTTGTTCTCTTTCCAGAGACGAGCATATTGACCGCTGTAGATAGGAAACACACATACAGACACATATATACATACGCACACGCACACCTACACCGCTGCTGTTCAAAGATGCGAGGATTCGTCTCAACATAATACACAACAAAAAGTAAAATGGGCAGAGATCCTGGAAATGAAGCTGCTCTATTTAGGTACATATGCAGAAGCCTTTAAACACATGCACCAACACGCCAACACTCACACACTCCATATTCCTGTCCAAGAATATACAGCCATATATATTTAAGGACATGCAGGCACCTATTGTATCACAATCACTCAATCAAAGCTACTCCAGATTCCATTAGAGCCAAACTCCCCCCTGGGAGAATCGAAAAGGATTCCCCTTCTCCTTCTCTCTTTACTTTCTAGGTCACAATTGGTCGACTCCAGATTTAAAGTACGGACTCTACAGCATCTTTCGGCTTATGCAAGGATGTGTAATCAGCTGGTGTCGTAATCAACGGTGGCTCCGGTAAACATGATTAAAGGGAGTTGAGTTTACCTCGCTGTAACTAAAGGCCTCAAAAATCCTTTTCATTTGAAAGGGATTCGCCAGAGCCGCGAGGGCAAACGCTGAAATCCAAATCCTGTTTTAATTACAGGATTTTGCTTTCACAAAACTTTTGACCGTCACGTTTGTTATCCTCAAACAGCAAAATCCCAAAACGGGTCAAAGTATTTAGTCCTGCCCTATTCAGTGGTGACAAGAGCATCTATAGCTACAGTGTTTGTTACGCACACATCATCCTAGAGCCCCCTTGTTTCTTCAGCGAGGCAGACCCCACCCAACTGCTGCATCCACGAGGGTAAAGTAAACAGTAAAACTGGAGCAGCTGATGCAGAACAGCACCACCTTGTAGTAGTCAAAATCAACTCCGGTTCACCAACGCATCAGCCTGTAACAGCATAGTTCATGCGACATGCTGCACAGTGATACAAGTGCATGGAGAAAGAGGAGAAAAAGTGTAACGCACACAGAAGCACAATGCAGTTCTCCACCGACAAACAGCTGAAACTTCAAGTGGCTACAGCTGTCCTTTCCCTTTTTTTAAAAGGAGGTTCTGTTGTGCGTGTCCTTCCACCACTGCGTGGACCTCACTACAGCGGACAGATCGGCCCGGGGCCAAGAAATAATTAATTCACTGATGATCTGAATCTGGGATTTCTGCCATGGGATAATTATTTCTTTGTTAGCCATAACTGAAACTAACAGACAAGGACACATTTCCAAATCCTGGAGGAGGGGGCCAGGTGGGGTGACGGGAGGTTTGAGGTGCTGTCATGGAGAAGGTCTTTCGAGTTTGAAACTTCATTAACGAAGTGCTTCAAAGGGGCTGGCAAAAGATTTGAGCTTGACAGGAAATTAATCTCGAGCCGATAAAGTAGGCTTTGCACATGAATTCTCCATGCTTTCGTTATGCTTTAAAAAATCTTCTCGATTGATAAGGATAACACTGTAATTGGATATTTTTTCCGCTGACTGTCGTCTGCCAAAGAAGCAGTATGTACAGGTTTTCTCATAAAGCTGTTCATTACTCCGAGTAGAAACCAGAAGAAAGAAGAAGCAGCATGACTTTTTGTCTGGCAAAGTCACAGTTTAGCCAAGAGAAATCAGAGACAAACACTAAAATAATTACCCAAACTGCCAGCAGCAAACATCCTCCACACTATCCCACTTGATTGGCTGGTTCATCTTTACCTGCCGTGCCTTCTACAGTTACACTTGCACACTATTTTCTTGTGCAATAAGAGCTTATCTGAAATACTCTTATGAGTGCTGCATTTAAATCGGTTCTTTCGTTTTCTCTTTTCTTTCCCGGACTTTTGTTTTTTATGTCATTTGCCACGTCTGACATGTGGTTTTACAAAGACTCTTAACTTTCAAGAATATGCTGTTATTATTCAAAAGTGACAAAAGGACAAAAGCGCTACTTTTCACTTAAAGTGTCAGACCTCACAGTGAAAGGAGGAAGCAAGGTGGGGCTAAAGATACGGCTGTCACACTCTGAACCTGACTACTGGAGGATGATTGATTAAATACAGGTGGTTAGAGAGTTGGAGGATAATACAGGAAAGAAAAGGGCTGATGGAGACAGGTACATGAACAGAAAGGCTTTGTATAATTTATACATGAATTGCATAACAGTGTGTGGGCATTAATAGAAGGACAAAGAAAGAAAAGTGGGGAAAAAAACGTGAAGCGGTACATGATTCGAGCCACCTGCATGTACGTGTGGGGAACCAAGACTTGAAACACTAAAGGAAACATAAGGAGAAATGCTCAGAAATGGACGTGCTGCTTCTTACCAGGGTGTGTGAACTGCAGTCTGGGTTGAGATGCTCTCCACGCTCCTGTCAAGGTGGCACCGAGGTGGGCTAGCAGGACCGCCACCACCAGCAAGTACATCCTTCTCCTCATCGCACACGGGGAGTCCAAGTCCGGCTTCAAATCTACTGAATTCTGGCAACTGACACACTAACTTAGTGTAGAACTCAGAGAAAGGGCTAACCTGCCTGCCAAAGTAAACTGTGAAGTCCCAGTCACAGTGATGTTCAAGTGTGTCAGGCTTAAGTCCAGATCCTTAAAATGATTCACAGTTTTTCACAAGAAGGTAAGAAGTAGCACTCACGCTCAAACTTTACCATCTTTGTGTCTGCGATGCTATCTGTGCACGCACGCGTCAGAGATGGAGGCAAAACGTACTCCAAGAAAATGAGTGAGTCGTCTCTCTGCTGCCTCCTCGCAGCCTGACAGCTCTCTACTGTTCTGTCTCTCGTCCCGGCTCCTCTCTACATGTGCTCGCTGTCTCCCTCCCTCCCTCCCTCCCTCTCTCTCTCTCTCTCTCTCTCTCTCAGGAAGGAGAAGAAAAATCCGAGATCTTTGTGGCCACACATATGCAGACGTGCTCGCCTATTCACTCCGCTCCGGAAAAACCTTGTTAAAGTGGAACTGAGACGGAGGAAATCAGCTTTCATCTTTTATTCACCATTCTCTTAGTCTCTCTACCGACCTCTCCGTATTGCGCTTACTCTCTCGCTCACTCTTTTTCTTTTCTTCTGATGGCTTTATACTTAGCAAAAAAAAAATGTAAATAAGAAGAAGTGGCTGATAAAACATTATGGAAACTTTTTTTAAAAGCAACAGGTATAGACACATGTTTATTGTGTTAACCACTCAATGAAAATAGGTTTTGAGAATCGATTAAGAATAAATCGACTTTTTATGAGAGGCGAAAAAGGTTTTTAGCGTTTCTATGAACCGCAGGTTCCAGCCTCAGGACTGCGTTCAGGTGAGACCAACTCATGAAACACAATCAGGGGCCGAGCCAAGACGTGCACTAAAAGTAAATGAGTGAGATCTTACAATCACTTCCAAAACAACCCACACAAAACACCAAACTCTACCCCTTAGTCTCTTTCCTCATCCTCATTATTTTCTCTTTTTCCACTCCTAACCCAAATGCAATCATTACCGAGCCCGTCCCTTCTCTCCTGCTCTGTTATTTTCATTAGATACCGACTCACTGGAGTACAGCTGCGCCGGGCTGAATTTTTCACCAGCTCAAGTTCAATCACAGGCTAGCGGGGACGATTTATTCATTCTCCTGGATAAATAATGAATTTAGGTTACGTGCAAATGAACAAGTATATGCTCCCTCTGAGGATTTCTGCTTTGTAAATGATTTATTCTCCGAGCTTGTTTGTTATTGCATAATTAGTGCAGGTTTTTCTTTAAATATGACCCAGCGGTTTAATTATGTGATTAGATGTCCTCTGTCTTGGTGTTTACACAACCTCATAAAGCTTAGAGTTCGTGGAGGTCAAATCTGGTCAAACCCGCTCATTAATTAAGTTATTCAATTAGTGAAGGAGAAAAACTCTCTCTATCCATAGAGACTCCCCTTGTGATGACACAATGCACTACTAAAGTGACCTTGGGCAAGACGTCACTGCAAATGCATCTCTTGGTAATTAAGTGATTCTTTCGGGGTGTGGCCAAGGAAAATAAGCATAACTGAACCTCAGATATATTCATGTGCTGTTTTGTATCACTTAGAAACAATGCATGATTATTCCTGCAGTTACAGTACAGCCAGCAGTACTACTGCTTACCTCTCATTATAGCAGTGCCAGTCCTTTTTTCACCCATGCTGAGATCACCTGCAAGTAAAACAGTGCATATAGTAGTGTTGCATTTATACAGTCATCATGTCCCACACTAACCGCCCGGGCTAGTTTTGTGTTTTAGACAAACAGGTAACGCAGGACAGAGAGATCCTATGCAATAGATATGAAGATGTTTTATGTTTGGACGTGTTGTATCACTTGTGTTTTGGTGTTTTGATAGTTAAAAAAAAATTGCATAGCACTTTATAATATATAAGATAAGATTTATAAGATTTAGCATTAAATTACAAGGTCTTTTATTTGAATTTAGGTTATAATCATACCTTTAAAAAAACTTAGCAGATATTACACTAGAATAAGGAGGTAACAATACAATTTTTTAGAAAGGATTCAAGAAACCTTTTTACTCTATGCACCTTTGGTAAGTGAGTAACTTTTACGTATTTTAGTGGAAAAACAAACACTCTTTCAATACTACAAGTGTTGCTATAGCCTTATCCTCAAAAGGCAAGGTTAATGTAAGCATACAATATACGATGGGGAGGTTAAAACCACTCCATACTTCGGCCCACATGCCTAAAAAAGTCAGTTGTGCATGCAATGTAAAATGGGGAGGTTAAGCTTCTCCATTATGTCATCTGTACCCCTAAAACGTAGATGTACACCTGATGTAAGTAGGGAAGTATAAGCTGTTCCATAATATGGCCATACCCCTAAAAATAAAGCATATTTACAGGTTAAAAAGGGAAATAGAGTTCCTTTGAAATACCTGGAAGTTACTCACTACTTAAAATCACTTCATGTTTCTTCTTTCTGGTAAAAAACAGAATTGTTTCCCTCTTTCACTTTCACTGTACACTGTAGGTAAATAAAAATACAGCCCAATTTTGGGGGAAACCCCCACAGATATTATGTGTTTTTACCGTGGATTACTTTGATTAAGTGTTGGGGAAATGGAATTTCATGCTACAACTTTTAATATTTCCTGTCCTATTGCACCTTGAAGCTGTTTCTACAGCTTCTGTTGGTAAAGTGTTAAACGTCAAGTCAGACGTGACATTTTAGAATAACGCTACTGCGACAGAAAATGAGGAAGAATGGGATGCTGGAGTAATCATTTACACATATGAGTCTCTACTGAGTCAGGATTTGTTGTCTTTCGATGTGCATTTTGTAAACAGCTGGTTGAAATTGCGCAAGAATCTGGTAAAGCTACAGTTTCACCTGTCAGTAATGGGCCAAACAGAAATCCTCACCAGCAACTTAGCATGCTACTGATGATGCAGGTTCTTCTCCTGGTTCTGATGTTCACATTTCTAATACCTAAAGAGAAAATGTGTAAAATGACAAGCTTAAAAATATTAATGTTGCATTCATCTCTTACCGGAACCTTTTAAACCCTCAGGTCATTAAGGCAGGATAATTAGAAGCTCGTTGCTAATCTTGCCAGAGTCAGTCTGCTTGTTAATTGCAACTAATGACCTCACAGTCAGCCTGAACAAAAAGCCTCCGATTTGTCTTTGACACGTTACGTCATTTGTCAATTAGCATGCAAACTCTGGCTGCTAAGACCAATTGTTAGTGGTCTTGGATCCCACCGCAGCTATTCTCTGCAAACCAGGCACACACAGACACGTCCATTGACTCATGCACATTCCCCGTGTTTCGTGAAGTGAGTGAGAATGCAGCAGTTAATGAGCTGCTCATTGTCGTCGTTTTCTTCTGTTTGGCTTATGGACCCCTATAAGGCAGACATGACACGAACCCTGATGCCAGTAATTGTTAATGACAGTAATGGTTCACAAACCAGTGTAAGTGATGTAAAAACAAACGAGCATCAGCTTCATTTAAGTGGCCTTTTGATGCAAATAATCACAGACTGAGAATCAACACCAGAGCTCTGAAAGGTCAAACGTTACAAACTGTAGCCATGTTTATTTACTGCACTATGGGATATAATGGGGCTGGGAGTAATTAGAGTCATAGTCATAATTAGCTTGAACCATTATTCCAAGCTAGGTCACTTCAAATCTTATATTACTGTTTGCTTAATTATTGCTTTCAATGATAGCAGTGTATATTTAACTCCTTTATATACAGGTTATGTGCCATATTTGTCCTATAAGAAAAGATTTAACATGCTCGTGTGACTTTCATATTAGCATAAACTGCCCGAATCGAAACTATAAACATCTGGAAAGAAAGAAAAGTTGGCCGTAATTTAGTCAGGGTGCTAAAGTGTAACCTTGTCTGTGCCACCTATTTACTACAGTGGTTATAGTGCACTTACATCAGAGGGGTAGGACTATGCTGCCACCTTACGTTTCTTCTTACTGTTTACCTGAATGTGATCTCGTAATCCCGCGAGACTCTCGACTAACCGTAATCTCTGGCGTTTCACCAGAACAGCGAGCGACACAGTTGTAATGACGACTTTGTACCGCTAGAGGTCAGTCTGACATTGTGTGGCCTGAACTGTTACAGCAAATATGTAAGAATATAGTAAGAATATGATAATAGACATCTCAGAGTGGAGTTAACTTACCTTGGGTTATGTTTTTAATATACTATTCAGATGTTAGAATAAAACATAGAACGCTTACATAGCTAAAAGTTATTACTGTGGTTGTATCCTCATGAATGGTTCAACTTTCATTTACGACTGCTGTTATTTGGTTTTGGGCTATTTTAAATTGGGCTAAATATATTTTTTAAATTAGCCAGTCTGGTTTAATCCCACGGTGAGGTCGGGAATGAAATTCTTTAGCAGATGATATGGAGTATATGGCAGGGTGGAGAGTGTTTTGGAGGGAGTGGACTTGACCGTTCTCGTCCTCCGCGCTCACATCATGATGTGTTGGAACCTTTTGTGCGGGGGCGCGGCTGTCGTGAGCGCGCTTTGTTGGGGGATGAGCGGCAGCTGTTAGTGAATTAAAAGTAGATCCAAAACATTAGCATTTTTATGAAGTAACAGCTAAGACACCCAACTGGCAGCTTTATTCTTCTTCTGTTTATTTATTTATTTATTTATTTTTTAACTGTGTCGTGAATCGTAATTCTTGTTCTACCGGAGAAACAGAGACCCACTGGTGACAGGACACCCAGCGTTTAAAAATAAAACTTTTGGAAACAAGAAGAATAGGTGGGTGTATCGATGAGTCACAATCACGGGGAAATCCTTGTCATACCCTCCGTCCAAAGTCATAACAAAAATTACACACCAGTCTCTCTCTCTCTCCCACACACACACACACACACTGAGGACCAAGCAGCCAGTCCTACTAGTCCAAAGCCGCCACCGAAGATCGTCTAATTGAAAGATGACTATTAGGAAAGTATAAGGGTGTGACCATGTTTTCTACAGTCAATGGGTGTGACAGGCAAATCTGGGCAGCAGCTGCCGCATGGATGGCTCTGCTAATTAAGAATAAGGAAATAGGTATTGTTATGACACAACTCCGAGTCTCGTCCTTTTATGATTCACTGCAGGCTTGTTTGGATGATGTATATGTGAAACCACTCAGTCAGTTTCAGCCAGTATTGGTTTTTAGAAAACCTCAACACTGTTCATGAATGCTGATTAATGGGGAAATGTTCTTTTAAGAATGAAGTTGTTTTAAACAGAGGTGGGCATGGGTGGCAGCAGCC